TAATCGGGGGTCTTACTGTTGGATCGCTATTGGGCGGACTAGGTTTGGCTGTCGTGATGACCTCCTGGTTGACATCGAGCTCAACAAATTTAGTAACAAATTCAACAAGTATGAATTGATCAATTTGAATATTGATTCTGTAAGATCTTCACCTTAGTCAGAATTTATTGCAGAACACAAACATAAAAGGAATGGCTTCTTTCATTCATTAACTAATTTTAAAGGGAACTTAAAAAAGGATATAATCGTTTCTATAGCTGTAACGGAATAATAGTCTATTCTTCAATCTAATTCTCTCTTTTCTTTTGCAGCTATTTCTACGTTGAATACCACCATAATTAATTCAACCACGACTCCCAGAACTGTCACAAGTACTTCAACTACAAGCAGCACCACAAGCACCTCAACTACTATCACCACTACAGGTTTTCTTATCTTTCTCTCTTGATTATTACTACTCATTGTTGATCATTATTTTAGCGTACTATTCTTGCTCAAATATGACAATATCATTCGATTGGGATTATCCAGGCAATGATATAGCCAGTGATCAGCCAATAACATTTTCTTCTTGTTGTACATGGTGTTTGAACACCACTAATTGTGTCGTATTTGCCTATTCTAATAGTTCGTCTACATGTTGGATAAAATTTTCAACAGGCGGTTCAGGTGTTGCCTCAACGATTATCATATGCGCAAAACGATGATTACACCGATACTATTATTTATAAGTTATTCTCTTGAACAGAAACATTAATCTACAATAAACAGAGTCGAAGTAACAAGTGTCAAAAAGTAAATTTTCTATTTTTGTATTTTATGAGAAAATAACCGATCAATGCAGTTCAATAAAGTGTTTTTTTTCTTACTACTGTCTTCGATAGAGAGAAAGATGTTGTTCTTATCCATAGAAAACATCTCAATTTGAATTTCATCCGATTTCACTGGATTTTAAGAGCGGGTCCGTCACATGACTACGTTAGACCACCAGAGAATATTAAGTGTTGGACTTTTCTGTTTCATACTTAATTAATTAATATTAAGTGATTAAGAGCTTGACGTCAAACCAATACTGTTTTATTTCGATGTTTTTGTCAGAGAACGGTGGCTTCTATAAGTCTTTCCAGCATATTCGGTGGTGATCTCCATAAGGTGTGGGTGTTGATGGACAATTGAATACCCACACCCACCCATATCCAAACCCACACATATACTCACACCCACATCCACATCCACACACTATTCATAACATCTTTTGAATAAAATGCAGAAATATTTCTAATATGTATGTTGATGAAAGAACAGTTGATTTTGTTTTCGAACAAAGAGAAGTTTTATTATTTTTACTAGCCTCAAATGAAGATAATATTATCAAAAAACAAAAAAAAAACTAATTCAAGGAAATGCATAAAAAGACGTCATCGTCTAGATTTAAGGGTTTTGGGCTTAGCATTAACGTAAAAAAATATACAAGTGTAGAATGAGTTATCTCGATTCGAGTTTTAAAACTTTCAAAGAGCCATCACCATCATGTTGACTCTCCTTACAAATGTACGTATTTTCGTAAATAGTTGAAATTTGAAATGATTTTCTTGTGTATTATATGTATGGTTTTTTTGTATTTCGCTGACACGGTGATCTCCGCAACACTTTTACTATTGTTCTATCTTTCAATTGAAAATTATCAAACACTTCTTCAATATCTTCTAGTAAGACTCCTTTCGTTTCTGGACAGAAAAAATATACGAATACCACAGCCAACAGGCACATACCACCGAAAATATAAAATACTCCATGTATTCCTAATGGTGCTATTAACTCCAATATGTAAGCCATAATTATACACATAAACCAATGGCTCGCTGTTGTTAATGACATTGCCCTAGCTCTAACATTAAGAGGATAAATCTCAGCTGCATAAATCCAGCAGATTGCCCCCCAAGAAAGTGCAAAACAAACTATATAAATAACTGAAAAGATAAGCATCAATATACCGACATTTGTTCCACAGTTCACTTCTTCATTCACTATAATATTATTAATGACAGTTTTGACTACATTACAACCAGTGGCAAATGCTGTAGCTGCTACAAGATGACCAACTACCATACCTAAGCCACAAAACATAAGAAGGTTTCGACGCCCGAGTCTATCAAACAAGAATAAGGCTGGTATTGTACTAAGCATGTTTGCACCAGACAAAATCAATAATGGTATGATACCTGATCCAAGAACACTTTGAAAAATAATGCCACCAAATGCAAATATAGGACTAATACCCGATGTTTGCAGAAAAACATGTATACCCATACCTATGCCAAGTCTTGTCAGCATTTTCTTTGTTGTAAATAGTTCTTTGATTGAAATTTCATTGCCTTCTTCTTGTACAGCATCGGCAATAGCGTTTAACTCAGCAGTTACATCGTATGTTTTACGAATACGTCTTAAACTTTTCTCTGCCGATTCTCGACCTTTTTTCTTGAATAACCATCGAGGAGTTTCAGGACAAAAAAATATTCCCACCATAAGAATAAACGGTGCAATTAAAATAATGCCATTTGACAATCGCCAGCCCCATTTATGATTTTGTAAAAAGAAATTAACCACATTGGCAGCAAACAAACCAGTTACTATGCCCATTGTCATAAAGCCGGACAACATTCCACGAAGATGTGTTGGAGCTATTTCTGAAGCGTATAGTGGACAGGAAAATGAAGAACAACCAACGCCTGTGCCTTCGACAATCCGTCCAATCAATATGAAAATCATTATCGTTTTTGAACCTCCCGGTGGTAAAATAACCATTGAAGTTCCGATTATAAACAGAACTGTTGAAGTGAAAATAATGGCTCGACGTCCGAATTTTTCTGCCACAAATGAAGAAATGAATAGAGCACCAATAAAACATCCGAGATTATACATTAACGTAAAAAGTACTAAAAATTGTCTGTAGTCAGGAGGCAAAGCAGCTATTGAAAGATCACAGACGGTTGTATTGGCATACACTCCAATACAAAAGTCATTTTTAAATGAATGCATGATAACTATACCACCAGTAACACCTTGATCATAGCCAAAAAACCATCCGCCCAATGAAGAAAAAGCAGCCAGAAGTACAGCAAAATATGGCTTTCCATAATGAATATTCTTATGTTGAAGATGATGATGATGATGATTAGTTTCGCTTACAGATTCTAACGACATTTTGTTTAATGCTTTTTGTTCACTACAATTAATTAATGAATGTGTCTGTTGTGCTTCACTACCGTCTTCGAACTCTTCCTGTGTGGAGCCTTCCCATTTGAGCACTTTCAAGGTATTTGTATCACTATCAGCGTTATTCTTCTTGCCTCGCAAGTCGTGGATAGTCACATGAGTAGGTTCTTGCCCATAATTTGTGGTTACGTTGGCAAACGTCGAAGACGCATTTAACCGGGCAGAACAGTCGTCTGTCGTGTTAATAAGATAGTTGATTTTTGGAATAACATCGCCACTCATTGTGATGAATTTGAAACAATTCGTACGTATAATATTATTGTACCACTAATGAAGCAATTTTTTAAAAATCTAAAAGAACCATCCTGCTTGTTATACACGTCGAGGCGATAACAGTGATGCCAAAGAAAAAAGAGAATGAGAGAGAAGAGAAAGTGCAGGTGTAGAGATAACATTGTGTTAAGAAAGAACAGATAAAACAGAAGGTATATGAATATAAAAAGAGAAAGAAAGAGAATGTAATATCATCATATGACTATGATGATAATATTACCTACTTGGATATGTGGTTAAGCATACAAATAACCCAGATATTCCCCTGAAAAAAAATAAGTTGCACAACGTATTTTTAGTATATTGTTACCATAAAAACATTTTTTTTGTAAAGTAATAGTGTACTCTGAAAGCCGGTGAAATTTTCCATCGTTCCCCATGTTAGTATTTTCGTTTGCTTTGATATACCGAAAACAAAATCTAAAATTCTCTTATCATTCCATGTATCGATTCATTTCATTGGATTTGTATATTAAACAGTAATTAAAAAATAATGAAGTAAGTATTATGTTAAGAAATGACTACGACAGTGTGTTTCATTAGTGAAGGTTATTGACTATAGAGCATCTAGTTATCATCTACGATTAAATAACATAGTTACTTATAGAGAAAGTTATCTTCTTGGTTCGTAATTTGGTTTTTTTTTTTTTGTTGTTTCATTGATATTTAATTTTATTGTATATTGAAATACAGCGTTTGCGTAAGGATTCGTATTTATTTCTAATTATCAGGATTTTGTTTTTTTCTAAATATAATTTTGTTGGACGAAGATAAATGATGAAGTTTATAGCTAGAATATTAAAAAGAAAAAAAGTGACAATTATCAATATATTAAATGTATATTTTTCTAGTTCGTAAGATCTTCCGACGGCTGTTTTGTATAATGTCATCGAATATGTTATTTATTAGTCATGTTTATCCTTGTTGTAGTTGTTGCATATTTTGATATCGCATTTGTTAACATTGCTTTTGATGGCTTTTTCTTGGCCAATAATTGATTTAGATTTTTATTACTATTTGTATTGATCGTTAGAAGAATATTGTTCATAAGTGGATTGTTTAGTTTAAGTCAAATACGCCCATTTTGTACTTCATAAAGACGATTTGCGAAGATTCCAGTGTTAGCTTTGTAGACTTTTGAGGCATCTACCAAGGTTTTACTGAATTGTCCCACATTTACATGGAAATATAATTGGCTTTTATTGCTAGATATTCATCACTAGACACACCATCTAGCAAGCGTCTCAAAACGTTCAGTCATAGGAGTATAAATATCTAGAGTCTAGTTATAAAAGTATATATATATACAAGCGTACTATGAAAACAAAAGGAGTTCTAAAGAACCTTTGATGTTCTGTACGTCCCCCATTTTACTCAATACAAGAACTACTGGAAATGGCTTTGCACAAAGAACAATGATTCCAACATCCCCTATAGTGTTTACTTTTTTTTATGCGGAACTACTTTTCAGGGATTTTACTATCAGGTAACGTAACACCTTTCAGAACCTCAAAAGGTTCTATGAAGAATTTTATCATAGTTTGCATGTAACGATATAGTTAGAAGGATAAATCCATGGGTAACCAACCACTTTTTGGAAAAAGTTTTATCAAATTTTGTGTGCTGGTTAAGCGCATAATGGATAGAAAATAGATTTGGCCAAAAAAAAATTGTGAATTTTACTTGCAATACCGTAGATTCAGTCGTTTTTCTGGAGATATCTATGGAGACGAAGGATCATCCAAGTTATTACAATGTTTAAAGCTCATATTTTGCCCATACGTTGGAGGTATGACGATTTTAAATAGACGAAATATTAGTGCTGATGCAGTTACACTTTATTCTATTCATTCATACCATATAATCGTATCGTTTACATATAAAGTACACGCTTATATACACGGGTAGAATAAGAGAGAATGAAAAGAAAGGGGATGAGGCCAAGGAGAGAACAGATATGGAAGAACAATAGGGTAAGGACAGCAACGTAACAATATCTATATATTGTACGAGTGAATGATGATACAACATGAGAAGCACATTACGACAGAAAGAGAATGAAACTCAATCATGCATAGTTAAGTACAACGGTAACGCGATTATGCAAACTACGTAATATCGATTGTACAACAACATATAGAAAAACGAAAGATATCACATAAGATGATATGCCCATTAGCACAGGAGACCACTAGACTAGCACAACCTCCAAAAGATTCTTTTTTTTTTCAATGTATTATGACCGACATATAAGACTTTTAAGGAGCACGCCTTTAGCATAATTTTGATCAAAATGCTTTTATCATCGTATATACGTAGAATTCGTTCTTCTTAAAAAAACTTGTATCTCGATCATAATACATTGAAAAGAGAATCCTTTAGAAGTTGTGCTAGTCTAGTGGTCTCCTACCTCTGGGCAAAATATGAGCTTTAAACATTGTAATAACTTGGATGATCCTTCTCCTCCTTAGATGTTCTTAGAAAATGAGCTCAATCTACGGTATTTCAGGTAGAATTCACAAGTTTTTTTTCGATCAAATCTACTTTCTACCCACTATACACCTAACCAGCATAAACAATTTGATAGGAAAAACTTTTTCTCAAAAAGTGCTTGGATACCCATGGATTTACCCGTGAAGGAATCGGCTTAAGGGTATACAGTAATAGATAAAAGTCTCCACCTTAGCAGATCTCAGTCATCATAGATGCTGAAAGTCTGAAAATTTGTATGCATGTGCTGCATCAGGAATGTACGCCAGTGGCATTACAGTGCCCCGATTGCCTAATTACAAAGAGAGTTATGATGGATAACATCTATTTTTTGCGTTGAATTTTATAACATAAAAAAGGTTGTCTAATATATTTTATGATATTTCTTATTAAATGCATGACTAATTTTTGATATTTTTACATAGAACGGAAGTCCAGCCTATGAGCTTTCTTTACCCTAGAAGATGAGTTTTATTTGTTCCAATATTGGTGTATTTAGACAGCAATGACCAACTGTAGAGAAAGTGTTTCTAAAACTTCGGCCTCGATCCATTAAACTATTATTGAGTAGTGGATCTTCAAAGGACAGTAGATGCTTTTCTCCACACCAATGGTCACAGTAAAATGGTTAGAATTATTAACGCTAGAACTACCAAGCCTATTTTTGAAGATTTCAGTCTTGTAAAGAAATTATTAAAATTATAGTTTTCTTTATTTAGAACAGATAATACAAAAAGTTCATTAAACCGAGTGCTCATCGCAAATAGGTTCTGAAAGTCGATAACATTTATTTCGAACTTTTTTATGTTTAGAACGATCTCAAAACGAATATCGTTTACGTTTTGATTGCGTAGAGTTTTCACTTAACTCTCTTGATGGTTGTTTTATCATAGGATAATCAATAACGACTAATGCATTTTGGATATCCATTTGTATAAATTTAGAAGCTTTCAAGCGATAATTTAGTTAGTAGATCAAGGTATGAAGTCATATTAAATACTCATAATTGACATATAAAAAGAAAGATAAATTTCTTTTTTTTATAGTCAACTTTGGATTCTAAACGTTGAAAAATGCTAAATATATTTAAAAGTAGTAGAAATGCCGAAATATTTTCGTTAAATGTCTGTTTCCTATAGTGGGGTCTATTTGAATCCCGCTTGGTAGTCCTAGAGTTAATAATTGTTTGTTGAAAAAAAAAAATAAAAGTTTTTCAAAGAAAATCAATTCTTACTGTGACGAACATAAACTCTGTCGAATAACATGAAGAGCCATTCGATAGCTCTCGAAAATGGATTAATACAGAAAGAAAGAAAGCTTATTTGCTAATGAAATGATCTAATAATTTTACTCCAATGTAACAATAATTCATGATATTCAAAAAGAAACAAAGAGAATCCATAAATAGACCAAAAATGAATTGTTTCTATGCATATTGAATTATTATGGAGAGATGCAGTAATTCAACATGTACCGGGTGGCCTAAATACATGTTTTCCAGGGGTAATGCTGTTCTCGATTTTAAATGATGAATATCACAAGATAATCGACTCTCGGTCTGGAACTACTGAAGTAATAGTCATTTTGGCGCGCTTTAATTTCTTATAAAACTTTCTATGGATGCTTTTTAAGATAACAATGTTACCCTCGGAAGAATACTTTTATTTGCCCTATAGGACTGAATAGATTTTACGTCAAACTTTTCTCTTGGATCGCGATGCTTTTCCAAGAGTTTTGAAGGTTTCTCCGTATATGTATAGCTTTTCGAAAAATGACCAGATTTTCACGAACTTATCATATCAAACTTCGACTTTACTATCATATTTTTGGAGGAATTTTCACGATTTTCTTAGAGCTTTTTCTGTTTTGGAAAAACTGCGTTGCCACGAGCATTAGCATTGAGTAGAACATTTTTATATTAACCAGCATGTCAGATGACGCTAGTAACCTTTCTCTGTTACGTGCTTAAAAAGAACTACTAGAATACGTTGGAAAAATGCTGTTGCAATATGATATTTTCTGGATTTGAATAGAAAAACCCATTTCTAAAACTTCTTCAGCGCTCTTTGCAAACACGGTTTCGAGGCAGGAAGATTGAAATAACTCATCCGAGGCTCGGCGTATAAACGATGTCTTTTTTTTTGTTTTAAAGGTCTTCATCAAAACTAACTTTTCATCGGACGGATTTTTGATACTTGATTCTCAGACTGAGAAAAGTGGAATTTTCTGGCGATCGAGTTACTTCTTTTATGCTTTTATTTTGAACGTCTATCCATTAAAATGCTCATAAAAAATGAATGGAAGAGAATTTCAAAATTCTGTCCGACGAAAAGTTACGCATAGAGATTAGCTTTAATTTTAAACCAACTCTAACTCTGCATCTCTTATAACGATGAATATGTATATAACTCAATATGAATGAACACAAGAGAAGTAAAAAAAAAAACATGCGCATCAATACGTTTGAACTGTTATCTGTCGACGTTATCTTTGAAATGTTTAAGTAATTGTCTCCTGTTGATATTACATTCATATTAGTGATTGAACAATGTCGCTATCAATGTTTAATGATCTTTACCAAAATGTCTTAAAGTTTATAGGAGAATCGACCTGTTTCATTACGTTTAACATTAACCAATGTTATTGGCGAATAGTCACTCATTTCTTCAACTTTCCGATATCATCAAACAATACTGCTTCAACATCTTCATCTGATTGATATAAAACTGCATGAATTTGTTACATTATCGCCGAGTCATTTAATAAGACAATTACATACTCTATTAGTTGATGTGAAAAAATGTAGCTCATTTAAGAAACAAATATTTGAAGGAGTTTATCTAACCAAAATAAGAAAACAAACACATTTTTATTGACGATGAGATTCAGAGTTTTTTCTTTCAAGAGATAAAACTTTTTATATTAGTATTATAGTATTCTAGCGACACAATAAAGACCAAATACGATATGTAATAAACAAGTCTTCTAGAAAAATAACAATGAGTTTATGTTACTGTTAGATATTTGTTTATCTTTTTTAGTCGCGTTACTTTTATTTTCAAATTTTAGCCAGTTCAAAGAAAAAAAAACCTTCGTACCCTCTCGAAGAGAGTTTATAAGTTGATATACAAATTACTACGTTGTTAGTCCACACGATTTTTCTTAGAGAAAGAAATAAAAGGATTTTTTTACTATGCAAACTTCAAAAAATTAAAAGTGAAACATAATTTCTGTGCAGGTAAAGTTTGCTGTCTTTACTCTTCGGTTTCTTGTAGACACTATCCATTGGCCAGTAGACAAAACCATCTTTAGCGTGCTGATGATAACGATTTGCATAGCGAGCCAAGGAGGATGAACGGCAACGTTTTATTGAATCTTCGGCTCTTGAATGCCAGACCATTGAGGATTTCATTGGTGAGGTACTGAACGGCTGCGGTTCCATAAGACAAGCACATTTAGCTCGTGATGAACCGTGAATATGACAGATCTATGAAAAGAAAATCAGAGAAGAATAACTCTGTGCTAACTTTTATTTTTTCATGGGCGAGAATGTGAAGTTAGTACTAGTGCTGACGTTCACTAAAGTTGCATTAATGTTGAAGCGTTCTTCTACAAAATGCAATTTTTACTGATTTTCGATTTCCTGAACTAACAGGGGAATTATTCTGTCAGTTCTAGTAAACAAAACTCTGTATGACTGATCTAAAAGAAATTAAACATACCTCGTCATTGTTTCTGCTGCCTCCTCTTCCTCTTCGATTCTCACCAACACCACCATTACTCCTAAATGAGTGTGGAATGTTATCTAAGCTTTGTGCTTCGTGTAGAGTTCGATGCTGATGGATGTTGTACATTATTTCAAGAAGAAAGAAAAAGAAGAAATGCTACCGACTACTGTTAGAGTATTGTCACGACGAAAGCAACTAGATCAAGAAGAAACAACGTTTTATAAACAACATCAAAAGAACAACTGATTTTTAATCCCATCAAGAATAATAGAGGAGAGAGAACAATAAAATGCGTTATTGTTGATTGATTTAATGTCCTACAAATTACTCCAGTATGGGGTACTGCCCAAGGACAGTTTCGTTAGCCCAATATGTTTTCCTGCAACTATTACTAGCTACAGTTCTGGACAGAAGGCTGGCCTGACTCAAAGTTCTTCCGCTCAATCACTTGAGCTCTCCACACACACTGAATAACCATATACTAGTCAAGGGCTGATGTATATCACAACGTAATCAGTGTGCTAAGAGATAAGAAATATCAATGATCGTATAAGTGTGCGCGCTGTTGGAGTATTATTAGAGTATCTAATTGAAGGGCAGTAACCGAAACGAGACGTTAGAAAGAAGAAAGACAGCTAAAGATCATTTTTCATTATCGAATAAAAAGAATTACATATTTAAAATCATCGTTGGATTCAGCGTCGATGAAGAGCGTGCAACATTTAACCAAAACAAAAAGCAGATGATTTCGGAAAATTTTTCATTAATCCTTTTTAAGAAAATGTTTATATAAGAATAAAGTATGAATATTTTTCTTCTATCATGTCGACACATATACCCAAACTTGATGCCTTAAAGCTTTATAAAAGATGAAACCGTATAGTCTGACGTTCAATCATTCATCATTTAATTCTCTTCATTAGTTAGTTTAAGATGATATATTGAGAAGTACTAAAACCTATGATAGAGTCTTTTTATATTTGTTTGAATTGTCTTCTTTTTTTATGACATCATACAAAACTGAAATGCTGTTTAAATGTAATTTTAATCCTACATATTTTGTCTCATTTCTGCTCAATACTTCAATTTTTTTTATGCTTACTAAAACATCTTTTTCTTTTGATTGAGTAAGAAGTTTGCCATTTGTTGTTACAGAACAGAAAAAGCAAAATTTTGTTTATCTAATGAAAGAATGGCAAAGGGATGAATAAAAATAGAAAGAAATAATGGCTAATGGATTTATTTATCCTTCAGAATTTGTCATTATGAAACCGGTGAATATAAATTTTGTTCGACGACTATAACAAGAACAATGAAAATTGCATAGAATACATGCAAACAGTGACAGGAACACGAAAATAAAGATTAAAATTTTTTTGTCATTCTAATTTGAGTGAGTTAATTATTTTAAAGTTGCAATACTGGTGGAATTCGTCCACAATGAAATACATCACTAGTAAAGTTATTCATCTCAATTGCGACAATAAATGGACAAATTTTGATCTATAACGCTGAAGGTAGTCTTTCTTCAATTATGAATACAACATTGTCTAATGAAACTTTTCGGAGCTTTTATTAGAATCTGCAATACTTATAAGACATTTCAATCAATACACAAAAGAGTATTACCGAATTCGTTCCTATTTTATAAAGATTTTGTGTATAGTGTAAAAGAATTTTACTAAGACACCACGATTCGTTTCAATAAAGAAACATTTTTCACTAGAATTTTGTTGCCTATTAGTTGATTTCTTATAGTTAACTTAGATATTATTATGGATAGAGAAGTAGGAAAAAAAGTTAAATTACAAAAATTATTTTTTCAAAAATCGATTTTCCAAGAGGAGAAGTCTAGTAAAATGTCTTCGGTTTCATTTATCCAACAGAATCTTCTGTTGTGTCCGGCACTTTAATATACAACTACTTGTGATAAGCTCTTTGTTACATCGTAAAAGCGCATTAGACAGAGCTGGATTAATTACAGATTTATTTCCTTTTTTTTTTATCATGGGTGAAAGTCAAGACAATGAAACTTCATCGAACAATACAGATGATGATGATAATGATGCAGATGGAATGGAAAATATTAATGAATTGTTGCAAAGATTTATGAATGAGATATCATCGGAAGCAAACGAATGAACAGTGGAATCGAGTGTAATATTCGAAGAATTATTAAGTAAATTAAAGCAACTTCATGACACTAAGGATAATTCTTAAAATCTTATTCACCAAACTGTACCATTATGTGATGAACTCATCGACACTGTCGAGAAAGCAAATTTTACTGAGACTAGTGATCTTCAACATTGATTCAAATATATTTTCGTCTCATTCTTTTTTTATTCTCATATCTTCAAGACACCATGATGATAAGATAAACGAATAGTGTATAAATTTATCTCGAAATAATGTTCATCATTGGCACTATATCTGAAAATATCGCTTCTATAAAAGATGAAAAGTTTCTTATATGCGAATTTTTCTTTGAATAACTCGACCTACTTTCTATACCACAAATTTGTTTATGTTTCAATGCTAAACAACATACAAAAATCGTTCTGCTATTAGCTTTAGCTATCGATCTGGATGGTACTATTCCATTTATACAAGATGATAGTATTACAAGGTATTATACTAATCTGTTTAGTGTCATGTGTAAGCGACTGGAGCGTGATCTATAGCTTGGTAATCATACTAAACAACAAACAACTTTTGATGATGAGACAACAGATTGCATTTTATTTTTCTTTTAGAATCTCTCTGATTGAACAATTATGTTGCCATGGCTTCTTAGTATCGATCTGACGAAAAACTATGCTAGAATGTTTAAAAGTCAAAAGAATTATCGTCTAAAACAACTCGACAAATTGTCAATCTTATTCATAACATTTCTTGACATGATGATGGTGCTGATGAACTCAACAAATTGGATGGTCTCTTGATTCTTAAAAAGATATTCAGAATAAGTACAGTAGTATATTGAGTAATGAAGAAAATCTTATCATATCAATGGCAATTATTCTCCTTTCAATGTTACCAACAAATCCGTTCAGACAATAAACGAATGAATAAAATTCTTAATCAATTGTTGCAAATCATTATTGAAACTGCTAAGGTATGTGTCATAAAAAACCAAGATAGTTCGTGTAATAACGTCTTCCTACATTTAAATGAAATATATTTTTTTGTCGGAACTTAATGAATAGAGATTTATTCAACTTTTAACAAAACTAAATAATGTTTTGAACGGAAAATTTATTCTGCTACTAATAGTTCAACCAAATTCTTTTGAGATAGTAAATCATGAATTTAATTGAATGAAAAAGTTGCGAATTTTGGTCAAAAAAGTATAACAGTTCATTGTTTTAGTCAGAAACTCATCATCATCAAGATTTCCATGTATCTGAACCCTTAACTGTATTTGCCAAGTTATTTTTATAGATGATCATTCGTTAAAATATGTCCTTAATGATGCAGAAACTAATCCATGATTCGAAATTTCGTGATTTATTCGAAGAGAAAAATCAATGTGAGCAATTTACATGCACGGCTTTATTGAAAATTTCAAGATCAGTATGAAACAATTATCCAGAAAAATCAAAATTTCTTGAAGGTAATTCGAAATTTAGCTTCGAATTATAATGAAAAGGTTGTTGAACACTATGCACCATGTTCAATGAAAAGCGTGGAAAAAGCTGCAAATGGTATTCTCGACAATCTTTATGAAATACGCGATAGTAAAATCAATGATATTACAGATCAACAATTAGTCTCTGCTACTGGCGATGACAAGCCGATGATTATGACCAGCTATGCTCATGCTAACGATTAATTTTGTGATAAAATATTTGCTGAGATCGAAGAAAAGAGATCTTTGTCAAATTTGGATTGATCGATATTATCTTACATCGAATGAAGATTTATGTGAAAAGATTACTCGTGGAATTAAACAATCAAAAAGTTGTTGTATGTCTTCTTTCCCAAAAATATTATGACAGTAAATCGTGCCGTAAAGAAGCAATCAAGTGCGATAAACCTATCATTCCTGTCTGTATTGGTGAACCAGGTGATTGTAATTGGTACGGTATATTGTTTTTACTGATACTATCGACGAAAATATTCCAATATTGAATATAATCTGATCTCAAATATTTCGATAATATCAAAAATTATTCCTGAAAAACAATTTTATCTAGGATAATAGATTAAAAGATATAACAGCCATGAATATGAAAAAATCTATCCAACAGTAATTGACACTGAGTTCACAAATTGCAGCATAGAGTTTCATTATTTCTACTTTAATCTTTTCATAATTACTCGAAAATATTTCTTGCAAATATGAATATACTTTGAATTTTTCAATCTTGCAATTAGTCAAACGACAAGTACTCAAAGCAACTTTTTCAAGTTTCGTCTATAATTCTTTCAAATATAAATTATTTCTAGTTTAAAACATTAGAGAATATAGCAACCAAGATATTGATGTTAGAATTTAGATGCTTGCTCGATAAGACTCTTGTATTAAGCGTCATTTTGACAATTAAACTACTTCTATATCCTACCGACGATATCGTCCGTCAGTTGTCAGTCCGAGATCTAGTTCTTTCTACAGCTTTTTGATTTTCTTCCAGTCTATAATATCATGTATTAATGTTTGTAAAACTTTTGCAGACATACACATTACTGAGTTAAAAAATGTTCTTTTCAAAGACCATACAGAAAAGCTTGACTCAGGTAAAATTGAAGAACCGTTGACAATCCACCCACACCCTCGAGCATGTTAGCGTCATACGCACTATTTCAAGTGAGAATAGCATTTTGATTCTCTCGTTGAGAAAAAAAAACCTTATGTGCACACCTGATTATTGACGTTCTTCTTATCGCACTCACACTACAGAGAAAGAGCATAGAAGCACCCATCGATTCTGTTAGGTAGTACACAAGGGTTAGAGCATATACGCATTTTCTTGCTTCATCATTTTCTACTTACCCTGAATTGCTGGCATTTATTGCTAGGCAACACACCACCTATTTTGGACGTGTGGATGGGTGTAGACATTGATTTTTTTCTCCTCTCCACTCCACATCCACACCTCAAAAAGGGGAATATTACAAATATT